TCCATTTTCATTTGAATCAGAAGCCTTATTTGACGTGTGCCCCAAGAATCGAATGACAATGAAGCAGTTATTACCAGACGATCCATGAACAGTCGAATATTAGCAAATTCATTTGGAAAGGACCCGCGCTGGTTCGGTGGCCAATTTGATATCAATCTGGAGTGAGCTCGAGAAATGATATCATATGATTCTTGAAAGCTGTTGGTATATACCGGGTGGCCTATCGATAACGTTCGACCCAAGTTTCTTTCGTTGTGATAAAATCTTTCGAAATCCGCGCGTACTTGCCGATTCTGATTTGACGGAAAACTAATTTTTCTCTAATTATCGAATCAAGTGATGGAGAAAGCTATCAACAATGAGCTTATCAAATATATGAAAAGTTCAGGAATCAATAAAGATACATAATATGGCTTCCGCCACCAAAGATCAGCTGGAGATTTACTTCCCTACGTCACCCACATCTAGCAAACTTAATAAGAAAAACATGGAGAATAACAAGCTTCAACGCTAGATTTATCGAAGGCATTCGATCATGTCTGGCACCAAGGACTGCTACACACATCATACGGCTTACCACCTTAGCTATGCGATCTTTTATCGAGTTTTCATTCAGGTAGATCGCTATTAGTGGTGGTGGACGGAGTATTGTCTTATGCTATTCCATCGATTCCGGCGTTCCACATGGATCAATCTAGGCACTGACATTGTTCCCACTTTATATCAACGATCTACTGGGAGCAACCACTCGCTCCATACACAGCTTTGCAGACGACCATACTGCGTTCTCTTCTAGAATTCCCCTTTCCTCCCAGGAGACTATGAACTCACGTCGGAGGCAGGCCAACGCTGTTAATGAAGATCTTGCGAAAATAGGGAAACCAAGAACCAAGTTGATTTCAACACCACCAGAACTCAAGCCTGCATTTTCTCTAGGAAGGTGGAATTCAGTATACTACACAGTAAAAAACCGCTTCGAGTGAAATCCGTAGGGTATGTTTTTAGAGTTGAAATACTCTGACAAACTCACTCTAATACTGCAATCAACTCTATTACTACAATTCTCGCAGATTATCTCCTTTGAAACTAATTCTAGATTGAATTTTCACTATTCTCGTATTGAATTCACTCTATATTACTGGAATTTCAATAAAATATCAATTCAGATAGCTCAATTCACAAACAATTGACATTGAATTCATACTAGTGTTTACTGACACTAGTGAAATTGAATATTCCTCTGTTGTCGATTGAATTGACACTCTATCATTGTTCAATTCAATCTATATACGATGAAATATCAATCTATACAGTTTCAGATCGTTCAATCTACTAGATAGTGAATTAAGTAATACAGATTATAGTGTCGAAGATATAATGATCATGATATTAGCTTCAAGTTCATTTTTTACTATTCCCGCGTAGTGAGAAATTTTTTTCAACATTGAGTTATGAACGTATTTCCGTATACCTATCTCAGTTATTTTCCGTCTTTTCCGTTTCGAATTATTATTTCGAACGATTTATGAAACAGATATAGGTTAACTAATTAGTCTAGTGAAACTCGAGTCATTTTTCAAATATCAAACGATTAAAATATTATAAAGTCACACTACTTCTCATCCGTCAATTCTCGCCACTGCATAAAGGTGGCGCTGCGGAGACTTCGCCGCTGAACGTCTGTCGGGGGCCTATAAATACTGTGACATGTGGAAGCATGGTTAATTTAACTTGGATGAAATCTCAACAGGAAGTAGTGACTAGTTTACTCAACTAGTGTACTATATCAATCTAAAATGATGAATAAATGATAACTCCTTATTAGCACCTGAACAAATAGTAGTGTTAATTTGAACAATGCAGGAGCAATTTGACATCCACGTAGAGTAAATAATTCAATCAATTTCCGGTGGATCCGACACTGTTCATAGTGTGGAATCTACTCTCTACTATTGTAATACAACTCTAAACTTTTGTGACTATGTAATATTCGGTTATTGAATTTCACTCTAGAGTGATGATATTGACACTAGCTTAGGTCTTGAGTGTAATATTCACTCTCGTAATTGTTTCTTTCAACTCTATTTTTGTGTTTATTCAATATATTTAGAGAAATAAATAGAGTAAGTTTCAATGTGCTTGCATTGAAAATTTACACTAATTGAATTGAAAAAATCACACTATAATATACTAAACTATAGAGTTAAATCATTCACTCTAAAGCTTAGTGGTCTTCCTGGGAACAGGTATAGTGTTGAATTTCACTCTATTTTTTTTACTGTGTATTACCACCAAGACCACTATATCTATGCTCGGTATTACCATCAGCAAATCTTTCTCATGGCGAAAATTATATTCGATTCATCGCCAAATCAGCTTCATAAACCTCGGATTCTTGTGCCGTGCAAAAATCTACTTCACACCTGAACTGCTTCTCATGATCTAAAATAAAGCACAAAGACATATAATGTCTCTTCGCTGTTCACATCTGAAAAACTGATCATATGTTGATGGCTTTATTTCATACCGTTCCCAATTTGGTAAAAATTGCACGTCACTAGCTGAGATATAGAGGGGAGAGAGGGGGGCATTTGAAATAAAACACGCAGTAGATTCGTTAATGTTGAATATTTCTCCATGAAACTTGGTACAGATCAATTTCAGAAGACGCCGATTCCAATAGTGTACACTGTACTGAATTATGCTATTAGAATCAGAGTTTTTGCTGAGATATCTCTTGCTATCATTACAAGAAATACTATTCACGTTACACATTTTCGAATAGAAGCAGCACATCGAAATTCTATGATAGTGATAACGACTTGGCTGAAAGTGAATTTTCTGCTACAGGTGGGTATACTGCTGTCGCTATCAGGCAGCCACTCTGTGACAGCATGTTTTTTTTTACAGTTATTCAGCTGAATTAGTACTAGTGAAATATATGCCTGTGGCTGCAAGGTTCATCGCTTGAAACTGCACTCACTAACAATAATACAACTGGCACCCTACCACGAAAATAATTGCGCCTATTTATATTCATTCGATATTTTGCTGACATACTCAATCATTTCCTTTTGGACAAAACGGCAATCTCGACGACACGACGATTCATTATTTAAAATCTGAAACTGAATCTGAATATGGAATTGAAACATTTTTGAACAGATGAATAAATTTGCAGTGTCCCTTCCAGTGCTATCGAAGATCTGAGTCCTTTAGTTATTACCATAATTGATGGAATGATGAAAGTGAGTTTATTCAAGGTATTTTGACTAAAATATTGATATTCCACATTCAACATTTCTTCCTTTCTAGCCCAATGAAATTTCAAAATTTACAAATTGGGTGCGTGAATCAATTGATCAATTGAATTTCGAAGATCATTGGTCTGAAATTTTCTTTAGAAATCAATAAATCGCCATCCATACCAAACACCAGGATGGAAATTATAGGAAGTTGAATTGCATTTCAGTCGAAATTTAGATAACTAAATAACTACAGCAAGATGGTCATGCAACTATCTATATTATGATCATCCCCTAAGATTGGCAACTGTTCCTAGTACTGGTACGGGTGAAGGGAAGTTTGCATGTCAGCAACTAGTCCCTAATGGGACCGCTTTGCAAGCCCCAAGGTGTTTTCAATGACTGAGGTGTATTTCTTTATCGCTTGGAGCGCACGAAAGGGGATCCCTATAATGTTCAGAGAACATCGTGCGTTCCTAGGTAGGATAGGGACAGGAGGTAGGTATTGGCTTTGTTTTTTAGGCTAGTAATGTACTCACTACCATATGCTGCAGTGGCCTGCTAGCTTCTTTTCCGATGCTCACAACCACATCATCATCTCCTCCTGATCGTTTTGTGTAGGCTTTGTTACTTACTCCATGCGCCACTTTCGACGCAGCACTGTTAATTCGAACGCAACAGCGAATCGTGCAGGACTATCCCCAGCCGATGCTCCGAAACTTCACAATATTTGATTCGTAAATAGGATATTGAAAAAGATCAAGATTGGCAAAGTTCTCTACCCATGATCATGATATTGATCTATTGATTGAATTGATCGTTCTATAGATTCTGGATTTTTCATCCTCTAAATGTGGTCTAGTAGGCGTTGGTTTTTTTTTTTTAAGTTGACGCTACTCAGCTTCAAAATACACTTTCCCCCCCTCTACATTTCACAAATAAATTCGTGAAAATCGCTTCATAAATGAAAGATTCATTGGGATGGCCCGCTTCCGAATGGGTCAATCTGTATCTAGCCAATCCCTTCTTATCATATTGCATAACAACTCATTACCCCCTACTCACCTTCAAGACATTGTTACTATGGTAACTAGCAAAATTTTTGGAAATTTTCCATCCACATGCGCATCTAGAGGTAAAATTATTGAGTGGAAATTTTCTGGCATATGATAGCTATCATATAATTAGACAAAGTTGAAATAATGTTGACAATAATGTTGACAATATTTTTCATCTTCCGGAAGGAACCCTACGGAAACATAGTGAAAATCATATGAATCCAATTATTTTTATATAATAATGTATTTGATACTATAAATTTTATTTTACTAGAGGATCCAGGGAGAGAAATATACACTTAATGGTTTCTTTCTCAATATTGTTATATGTGAGAATGAGCATCACTCTACACTCGCTGCACGCTGATTCACCTCGTACTACACTCATTGTAATATTCCCTGTTGATGTAAAGATAATTGGTTTTTGTAATTGTGTTTAACATTGATCCCCTCTTTTAACAACCTACCTTCGAACAAAGTTCAATTAATTATTATTATTATTATTATTATATATTTCTGGTATGAAATCATCTTCCTACCAAATCCCCCACGTTCATGAATGAATTGTGAGAAATTTATTGTCTCGCTTCGCGACTCGTGATATCAATTCATGTAGGTACTCAAAAAATTCACGACATCGACAAACGAAACATGTTTGATATTTCTCCTAAAATCATTGATCTTGACTTGAAACGAATCAATTCTTTTTTAATTTCAAATTATTTGATCGACGACAACAAACTTTCCTAACGATTAAATACAATAGAGTCAAAACGACAAGACACATTATCGTTAACATGGCGATAACATCTACCAGTAAATATTTGTACCATGGCATATTCACTGCAGCAACTCTGAGGTGAGGAGCACCTCTGAATCTTGCTACAAATTCGGTCCAGTAGACTGCAAGGTCCATGGGCTTCATGGGTCTATTATGTAGAAACACAGAACTCTTCCTAGCATTCTCGAGATATCTATCGATAAAATCAAACAACATATCAGGATGTTATTTAGGTATGTGACCAAACTTCAAGTACTGATCGATAGGGTGATTCTGAGACGAGGAGTTCATATACAGTGTGTCCATTTAGTGCGTTATTTTTTTTATCACTTGGAGCGCACGAAACGAAATCCCCATAATGTTCAAAGAGCATCGTGCGTTCCTAGGAGGAATGAGGACAGGAGGTAGGTATTGGATTTTTTTTGAACTTCTGGAGATTGTATGTTGTTGGGACTTCTTCCTCAGGCATGAATTCCAGAGCCTATCCGTTCTATGGATGAAGGAGTTTTGATAAAGTGCTGTTCGACATCTTTCGTGGTTGACAACGAAAAGATGTGCTGACTGGGCTTGTCTAGTTCGTCTGACTGGTATTGCTAGTGAAGAACATTTCTCGTTATCGAAGGTCCCCATTTCAAAATTATTTTCAACAATAATGAGTGTTTTATAATAGCGGGACGACTCGGAGACGAGTTTTTTTAAATAGAACACCCAGTATTTTTTATTCGAAATATATTCCGCTAAGGTTGAGCTTTACATAACTGTGAAAAATTGAATTAGGTTACGGCGTTGCCATGTTATTTATTTATTTATTTATTAATTATTATCCATACAGATTTTAGAACCTCGTTACATGGATAATCAAACATAAAAATAACATATTACGAAAAATAGATCGATAGTAATGATTCCTATACCGACATTGAACATATAGGTATCAAAAATGAGATTTTAGAATACCTATATGAACAGTGAGTACAATCATTGAATCAAGGATTGATCCGCTTCGGAATTTATAATTTGTATATAATAATCAATAGATTGACAAATGAATTGATGATGAATGGGGCTACCTCAAATTGATAAAACTAGAATGTGCTTCAATATTGCAGTTCTATAGGTTTTTTCTGAGTTAGTTTACCAGTCGAAACATGGATACAAGAGGAGATCTGGCGGAGGCTGCTGTGGCTACCAGTGGCATGTTGAATATTACAGATGATCGGGTTCTTCTAGGAGGAACATTGAATCGTATTAATGACAGATTCCTGGAGAGTTGATTTTAGCGATAGAACTCTAGACTCGTTTCGCAGATATGAGGATCTGACTATACGATAGTCGGGGTAAATATAATATTTTTTCAAGTATAGGTGACGTAAAAATTTATTTTGAATCTTCTCCAATTGACCTAACGCTGCTTGACATTCGCCGAACCAAACCAAGGAGCCGAATTCTGATTTACTACTAATTAAGCTGTAGTATAAAAGTTTGAGCGTATTCAAATTCTTGAAGTTTTGTGCTTGCCTGATTATAAATCCTGATAGACGTCCAGCCGATTCAATAACATTCTTAATATGCCTGTTGAATGAGAAAAAGTGGTCATAGACTTCACCAAGATCTTTAACTTCTGTGGATCTTGTCAGCGCTACTTCAATTAATCTGTATTCGAAGAGAATTGGGTCCTTTTGACGAGTTATGGTCAAAACGCAGCATTTTTCAACGTTAAAGTTCAACTTGTTTATCCACCACTCTTTAAGTTCATCTATATCTATTTGCAACCTCACAGAGTCTTTAACCGTCTGGATGCGCTTGAATATTTTCAAGTCATCAGCAAATGTAAGATACTCTGATGACTTGAATGATCGATAAACCCATTTTCAATACCATTGACGGGTATACAGTAGTAGCAATAAGGTCTCACGTATACCAATCCCGTAATTTTGCTAGATGATCCTTCACAGGGTGCTAAAATTAACTTTCTGAATATTGCAAGATTCAGATGACGTTCATTAGAATTTCTCAAAGGAAACATCCTGTATTTTTTATCACAGATTTATTTCGACATCATCTGCCTTTCCATCGCTGAATAAAAAATCGAAATCGGTTGCGGCGTTTTCAAGTTATGAGTAATTTCCTTATGTTTATCACTGTCTCAGGGCAACTTATAAGGCAAGGTTTCTTCATTTGATTTGAGTGTGGGAATATTGCTTGCCATATTACATTCGAGGTTCTACATAGATCATTCAGGTATTTTTGCGATATGTGCATTGTCCAAATTTGAAATATTCCGTAATCTTGTTACTTATGATTCAAATAATATGTACCTATGTGAAACAAACAAACATGCCAGAAACAACGCCTGTCTTCAAAATAACTTCTACAATACAAACAATGAATATTTGAATTGCGAGAGTAAGGACAATTCTTGAAAATTTGGACCACTTTTATTGTCTTTATTCCCATAATCCAAATCTCTATTTAACTTGAAGGAGGCAAACTATCTACATAATGATGCAAGCAATATTTCTCTATTACGCGGGTTTCGAGAGGGAATTCAGCAAAATTTCAAATAAAATCGAGATATATCTGATTGTGGCGGTGTTTGACAGGTCATTACCCAATTAATGGAAGTGTATTTCGAAAAATGTATCCATAGTCTGCGAAAAATCTGTAAAAGTAGCATTTTGGATCAATTTGTCAAAACCCACTCTGTTTTAAATTCAAACTTTGAGAGCCTGAAAATGTTCCTACTGTGAAAAAATATATGAATGATCAATGAAGAAATTTGGTTATACCGTAACAGAGCAATATTTCCACAATACAAATAAATGAAAGGACTATGACGTACAAATTACCCCGGAATAGTAGTAAAAATAAGGAAGTTATCAATAATTTGACAACGCCGCAACCGATTTTGTTTCTCCTTTCAGCGATGAAAAGGCAAAACCTGTCGTAATAAGTTTGTGAATATAAACGCAGGGTGTTCCATTTGAAAAATTCTAATGAATGCCATCTGAATCTTGCATAATTCTAAATGCAAAATTGAGCACCCTGTCAAAGAACATGTCGCAAAATTATTGGAATGGTATACGTGAGACTTTGCTACTACCGTATGCTGAAAATAGTTTCAAAATTTAGTGAAATGTATATACCATGCCCAATTCAACATGACTCTTCAATAGTGGTAAAAATAGATATATCAATTATAACTTGGCTACGCCGCAACCGATTCCAATTTTTTTTTGACAGCGATGTGAAGGTAAACCTCGGCGAAATAAATGCCGAATAAACTACTGAGTGTTTCATTTAAAGAAACTCGTCTCCGAGTGGTCCCGCTTTTATAAAACACCCAGTTATGTTGAAATTATTTCAGAAATAAGCAACTTTAGTAACTGAACAGGTTTTTTCTTCAAAGTTTTTCTCTATAGGTTATGGCATTCGAGATATCGAAGAATTACGCACCAAATGGACACACTGTATACATTGGTTCTGAAATGTTCCGATTGAAAGATGAAGGATGTTGAAGTTGAAAGTATTGATTGTTGTTTTTCATGATCATGCTGAAACTTTGATGTGAAGATTTCGTCTTGAAATCACCCACATAATCACCAATTGCACTGAAAAAAGGATTTGTTGCATCAACAAATTATTTATGCTTGAATTATTTTTGTTGGACTAAGCAATTTGTTGAATTCACCAGATACATTATTATTTCATGGAAGCAGCTTGTTCAAATCAAGAATGTAGTCTTATTCAATCAACAGTTTAATATCAATTCCATCAACAAAATATATGGTTTTATCAAAAACAAATAATGTTGATCCAAAATAATGTCGATGTTGATTCAATTATAAACATTTTGTTGATTTGATCAAATAATGATCATTTTGATGGGAATATATCTTTGGAACAACATACAAGATTTCTCATTCCGATGTAGCAATGAACTTATTGTTTCGAACGGATCATTTGCTTGAATAGAGCAACGAAATGTGTAATATCAATGAAATATTTTGTTCATTCTACATCAACTTAAATTCTCGCCTCTAGATGGCAATCATTTCGCCTCGTCTATGCCTGCCTCATATACGTGAAGCCTGATTCTTCGTGTTTGAAATATCAAGTAGATAGATCGAACTTTGGATAATTAGCAATCTGAAATAGTTTTTCTTCAGCTGAAGAGAAGTGAAGACTGATGATCTATGCTAGAAGTCGACTTGTTACCTAGTTTTGTTCATTTTATTGATGTGAAATTCGAGTGAATTCACGAATATTGAATTTGATTCAACAAAACAATTTGTCGAATGGATATATGGTTTCTCTTGAATCAGCAAAATATTTCATTGAATTAACAAAATATTTCATTGAACTAACCAAATATTTGATTAAATCAAACAAATATTTGATTGAATCAACCAAATATTTCTTTGAATCAACCAAATATTACGTTGAATCAACTGAATATTTGATTGAATCAATATCTTATTATTTTGAATCCAACAAAATGATTGTTTAAGCCAATTCAATATCTCTTCAAACCCATTCATGGATGTGCTTGATTGAAGAAGATCCAGAGTTCATGCAAGACATATTTACTTGATCCAAACTTCAAATTCGCTCTGAAACAAGATATAGATTCACTCATTTCAAGATTATATTTTGTCGTGCATATATGACACTTTTATCTGCTCCATTCGATTTAATTTTGCTTGATTCAACAATTCCTTTTTTTCCGTTTGGAGTGCGGCCATATACTGAAATGACACACTGTCTACATTAGTTCTCAACACCCTTGATACTGATATAGGTATCAGATAGATATAATATAAATGATGTGGTGATTTCTCTGAATCAAATTGAAATACATTTTTGAAGACATATTTACAACATGTCGAAATGAGAGGTTTCAGAAGCAGCTATAAATCACTCATATTTGAGTATATTGGTGGAGAAATATTGTGTTCGTTATAGTAGCAATTACTCACTTGGAATTCTTCAGGGCTTCATTCAATGCCGAGCTGAACGAATCTTTAGTCAAATCTTGGAAGTGAAGAGAAACTCCAAATCCAGCACCCACTGCCTTCGCCGCATTGAGCCTCTGATCTCCAAAAACTGGTAATGCCAGAATGGGTACCCTATGGTAGATTGTTTCCGTTGTACTGAGTATTCCCCCATGTGTTATGAATAATTTCACGTTCGGATGTGCTGTTCATAAAATAAAATTGATATTCAAGAATACGAAAATATTAACAAGCTCAAACTTATTCGAAGAATGTGGAGAATTGAAATATTTTCCCAAAATAGATGATTCATTGGATGATTTGGTAGTGACAAATTCTCCAAATCGAAATATCTCTGAAAATATATTTTTTAACTCGAGGAGTTGATACATCTATTTGGGAAATATCATAGATATAGACATAGGATAGTTCTAAGAAAACGAACCTTTTAACCCTTTCCAGCCCGAATCATTTTCTCGTGGAAAGAAAAATGTTGATCAATACAATGATCAATGATGATAATAAACACATTTTTCTACATTCATGCAAAAAGCAGAACTTTATTGAACTATATTTAGTGGGAGAAGAAGTTCTTCATTGCACTTAGTGCAATGAAGTTTTCATTGCACTCATCTGTCATTCTACTTCAATAACGTGCTATCATCATGACAAACAATTCTTATATTGCAACTGTGGTTATAGAAACGTCATATATTCATATTGAAAATTGCACCAATTGTTCATTCACTTTCAACAATGAGGGTAAAAATACAGTTTGAGTTGAATTTGTTCGTAATGTATTAGTTCCTGTTTCAATGCAAATCGATAATAATAATAAAGTATTCAAGTTGCGTTTTTCATTTTCCTGCACCTAGTGTCAATAAATCATTTTTTGCTTTTTGCATGAACGTAGAAAAAATGTTGCATGCAACTCGTGCAAAAATTGTTTATTTCACTCGACGTGTTGTCCATTTCACGTCGAGTGCAATAAACATTCACTTTTTGCACTTGTTGCATAAATAACTATTTTCCGAAAAAAAAAACTGAAATATATTCAAATACTTTATATTGAAATGAATTGATGCCATATGGAGTCAGTGGGCAAATGATATATTCAAGGGCGAAACAAAATATTTATCAAACTTACATGGATTCAACTTATTTACAGTGGAAAAACTTGAAACAAATCTTGTCTTCTGTTGAACATCATATAGTTCCTCAGCTTATCGAATCTATTCCTAGACATGATATCAGGAATAGGCGAATACCTCGTAGATTCGGCCCAATACATCCGGTAACTTGGCATTTTCACTAAGCTACTCAGAATATGGATAGCTAGACCTAGGAGTTGTATCTATAGATGATCCAGTCTTCTCTACTGAATATACATCTATCTGTAGCAGGATATTCTCTAATATATTGTCATCAAAGAAATATTCGAAATAGGATGATAGTGTTTGTTCAGGATCAGGTGGATCCGAAAAATTTATTCCGCATATTGAATTTATTTCATCTGAATCTCTCTGATGCCAGTGATTTTTCCTTCTAGTTGACTTAGGGACATTTTTGGGTGGATTAGTTGTTTGAATATCAAATACAACAGCCAATGGTATCACATCATCAGAGTCGTATCTCTCTTCATTTGCTTCCTCATTGATTATTTCATCATCAGCATTCTGGTTTCCTTCATTTTCATCTTTGATGTTCATGCCATTTTTTGTCACAATTCCTATAAGATCATTTTGTTCTGCAACCTAACTAATCGTGCTAAGCACAAGGTCACTAGACCACTATTGTTGAATAACAAGTGGGCATCCGCACCAGCTACAGCCGAAGAAGGGGAGGTTCGTTGTAGGGAAAGTTAAAAAAATAACTAGAAAATATGTTGTTGAATGGGCGCCAGGCGAATTTACCCCGTGCAAATACCCTTCGTTGATCAAACTCAATCTTTCAAATTCACCAAATCAAGATTGAGGCTAAGTTATCACAAAGGTCGAAAATATCAAATAAAATACGGGTCACCCTCGAATGTGTTTATTGATTTACAATTCATATAAAAAAAACTGTCAATGATGAGACAGTTCAGAGCCTCAGTACCAACTTTTACCAAAAAAAATATAAATCCGAACACCAATGCACAAAACCTAAAGCCAACTAAGCAGTGACCGATAATAGCAACAACAGCCTTGAAGTCACCTAAACATGCAGCAAGTACAAGGTAAGGGCAGCGTAGAAATTAAAGGGCCGCAGTCAAGTATATTATGTGTCACGGAAGGGCAAAACGCAGCGCATGAGCTCAGGCGCAGGTTTGGGGTAGATATGGCCTCCGACTTAACGATACCGCGCGCACGATAATTTCCACTTACAAGTCCACCCAGGGAGTATCAATAAATAGAGACAAGAAACAAGCTTATTTAAACTCGGGATATAAAACATCAAATTATACACCAACTAGAGGATTTAGTAGGTAGCTTAGCAAATTTAGCGGATTTAGCAAATTTTAGCACATTCAGCAAATTTAGCAAATTTAGCAAATTTAGCAAATTTAGCAAATTTAGCAAATTTAGCAAATTTAACAAATTTAGCAAATTTAGCAAATTTAGCCAATTTAGCAAATTTAGCAAATTTAGCAAATTTAGCAAATGTAGCAAATTTAGCAAACCCAGCAAACCTAGCAGACCTTGCAAGTTGGCCAATCTAGCCAAATTTATCAAAATTAGCAAATCTATAAAATTTTACAAATCTAGCAAATCTGGGATCCCTAGCACATTCAGCAAATTTAACAAAGCTAACAAATTTGGCCTGTTTAGCAATTTTAGCAGATTTAGCAAATCTAGAAAATTTAGCAAATTTAACAAAGTTAGTCAATTTAGCAAATACAGCAAACTTGGCAAAGTTAGCAAGTCAGCGAATGTGGCAGATCTTCTAATTCCCATTATACTAGAGTTCAAGCATATATAGAAAATCGAACAATTTTAGCAGGTTCAGCAAATTCCAGCAAATACAGCAATCTTCACAAAATGTTCAACTGTATGGCTGCTACGAAGTTAGTATAGCAAATAAGACTAATTTAGCAAGTTTAGCACCTTTAGCAAATTTAGCAAATGTGGGTAAAGCTAAGCATTGAGCATTATGAAATAATTAAGGGTCATTAAAAACTTGCGTGTCCTCAGTGGTGCAGCTCTTCAATGGTGTCACCCTGTATAAGTGAAGAGGTGGGCCTCACGGTCCCGGTGAACTCTCTTAGGCGCTGTTGGATTGGTGATAGTACCCTTGTTCCAATAGAAACGCCCTGTACAATGCCATGTATGATGTTGGAGGTTGGTTTGGTATCCAAAATAAAAACCCTAGGAATAAATGATCCAATTACTATCTCTACCCAGAAATAGATACCCCAATAGACTCAAATTTAGTCCTAATTACTATGGACTAATGAAATTGATAAAAAAAACAAAATTTGATTAATGCTTCACCAAACTATAGAAATCAAACAAGCAACTGGTTTACCTAACCCAGTGTTATTCTTCTTGTTGAACTTTTATTCTCCATTTCAAAACATATAATGATATGAAATACCTAACCAGTCATATTCACTGTATAATATTAGAAAAATAGGAACAACTAGACCAGCTACGTTCGAAAAATAACAAGCTGTTACTCACAGACTGTCCTGTGATTTTCCCCAAGTCATAAAAAAAGGAATCAACAATTCTCCATGAAATATTTAGGAAAATCAACTTACCCTGGCCAAGAGGTTTGTTTTATCCTTTTGTTATTTATGTCAATAACGTCGACAGTGCATAAACGGGTGGATCAACATCTGGTAAGTGATAATAGGCCTTATTGCATCTGTCCTTAAGGAAATGACGATACCATGAATTCTATCGACAAGAAAAAAAAATGCTTCGTTAGATTCTGGAAACACGGGATCACCACAAAGATAGCACAACACAAAAAAAATGCAAAAGGTAGTCCACATACCTAAGTATACAACTGGTATCCTGAGGGAGCAGCTCGGATAACTTCACGTGAGAGAGTTTGGCAAAACTTCAGATCCTCGTAACGAGTCCAATTTGGGTCAGCATTCCAAGATATCCACAAAATATCAACCAACTGACACCGACATCGGTAAATATAGTCAACAAAAATAATCCCCTTGCAGGATGATACCAATAATCAAAATTTTGTGACTAACGTTTCGCCATTACTCTAACTCTCAACCACTAGAAGTCAAAATGAATGAATACCCCCAGAACACCACAGGTGTCGCCTCGAGCAACCACTTGTCAAAAGAAGCCCACAGAACAATGAACTATGGTGACGTCACTCCATCTTGGTGCAATAGATGTCGACACTAAAGAAGGTAACCTATCCGCCTAAAATTCCCTTCAGGATGAAAGACTTGATGAACAGCACTCTGGTACTCTCCATACAGCAAACCGGGTGAGTATACGTAGCTATATCCGCTAAAATATAATTTTACAATCCAGGAATTTATATTTCCAGATATGGCAACCCTGCACTAGAGATTGGCACTTACTAATGGATCGATACGAATGATCAGCGCCCAGCTCTTTCACGTCTGTCATAAATCAGACTTCATCACTTGACGCCCATGACAATAATGTCAGGTATGTCATGATGTCAAGTCAAATGATGTAACAAACAGCAGCTCGCTGTGTAAACAAAGAAAAATAAATCGTATCCAAATATTCTTCGATTATACCAGCCTGATACGATTAGAAGCGAATAAACATTGGATTCAACCAACTATCTGGTAAGTCTGAAAGTCAACTTAGTATATCTTACAAGTCTCTATACAATCTCGCCTATAGTCTGCTACCATACTCAATTGATCAATACCTAAGTAAATAATTATGTTTATATGTTTTCAGGGTTCATAGCGGCGCTAACTACACCGAAACCGATGAATAAAGAATCGATGAGTGTGTTGAAATGCTACGAAAGCCAGGTGAGCCATTATTTGGAAGCAGTGCAGAAAAACCTGTTAGACACACAGATCTACTTCAGGGATACCTATCACACGAAAGACGGATAGAAGAATACCTTTTTTTGCGTTCATTGTGCTGTGAGAATAACAATAAATAAATTTAGGTACAGGGTGATCAAAAGGCGAGTTTTATTTATTCTATTTTTCTTGGTTGTGTAACGACATGAGTTAACGTGGAAATTGAACGTTACAAA